AAAATATATATATACACATGTACACATATATACATATATATACACACAGATACATACACCCATCCACACATCCACATATGGAGTCATGTATGCTACTGCAGGGTAAGCAATGGACTGCAAACCATAAGATTGGCAGTTCAAACCCACCAGCTGCTCTTCAGAAACCCTACAGAGAGTTGCTATGAGTCAGAACCAATGCAAGGGCATTTAACATATACAGATGTTATGTGTGTGTGTGTGTATATATATATATATATAAATATACATTTTGGGTATATGTGTGTGAACGTTTATATAGCAAGTTAGGTTCCCTTTAGTAATTTCAACAGATACTTGTGATAATTAAGGTTCTGTGTCAACCCCCATGGGGAGATCTAATATAATGCAATCAACTCTATGCTGAGGTCTGCTATGACTAGCCAATCAAACAATGGAAAGAAGGTTTCCTTGGGGATGGAGCTGGCTTTTCATAGTCTGGACTCTCAGCAGGCTCTCTGTTGGGACTGGATCTTGCATCTGGCTCATCCTCCAACCTTAAGTTTTTCTAACTTGAGTCAGTGGCTTGCTCTATTGCCTGCTATCCCTGGGAGTCACCGGCAGCCTGCCCTTCTTTCCTGCCAGACCTGCCTGCCTGCCATCTATCTGAAGTGCCAATCTTGGTTCATCAGCCCTGCAGCTATATGACTGAGAAGCTTCCAGGCTGCCATCTAACCCACAGACAGGACTGACCGCCTACAACTGTGGGAGCCATTTCCTTGATATAAATCTCTCTTTATATGTATGTATATAAGCTTCACTGCTTTTGCTTCTCTAGAGAACCCAACTTGACACACTACTGTTCACTAACACTAGTTCCATTTTTCAATTGTGTCAACATTCTTATTATTTCCATTCCTAATTAATCTAGGTTTCCTGTTACTCTTCCCCACTTCATCTTCACTTTAGGGTAAATGTTGACTATTTAGATCATGTTTTTATTTTAAATACAGGGGGCACAGTACTCAAGAAATCAGAGTTTTTAAATTTCTCCTTTGAGGAACTCCTCTGGGGTCCATGCCAGGCACTTCTGCCTGCTTTTACAGAAGTTTTAGCAAGACAGAACTCTTAACAGCTTCAAGATGGAAAACCACTGCTCTCAGGATTGACCTTAGCCTGGTGGCACATCTACCTCCACTGATTCTGCTTCCTCAGAGAAAGAAGACCCAAGGAAAAGATTCGTCACCTCCAAGCCTCTTGTGTTACCACCTCAAAAATGAGCAGTGATTCTCACACAAATGTAGCATTTTGTGCCAAGGCAAGGTTTTGGGTGGCTAACAGTTAAGCAGAAGAATAGGAAATTAATGCAAGGGGGTTCTTTCTATTATTAGAAAAGCTAGCCAGGTCCTTCCTGAGAGGGTTTAAAAAAAAAAAAAAATCCAAAGACTAGGTTCCCATCTTCCTATCTTGGTTCTTGGTTCTGAGAACAGAGGCTGGGATTAAAATTAATTCCTGCAATTCCTACCCACACCAATGCTGTCAGTTTATACCTGTACTCACAAAAGGTTTACATACCATGTCTTCAGAATTAAAGACAGCCAAAGTGAATATTTATATTCAGAAAACAAACTTGACCTTTGAAGTAAGTCAGTGTGCTCTGCAGTTTAGAGGAAATTCACTGTCCTGATCACTATAATGCAGATGGAGTTAATATGCTCTGTCCACGGTCCTTACAGTGCAAGATCACCGTGCATACAAAAGGAGAGCTGGACAAGACTCTTTCTGAAGGCTCTTATGGCACCTTCCCCAGACTACAGAAGACAACTGCCCAGACACTTTGAGTAGTTTGTGTGCTAATGTGCACAACACCAATGGTTACAGAAACTTGACAAAGGGATTTGCTTTGATAAACAAATCCTGACAATAGACTGCCTAAAAAGCCCCAAATGCAAATACTTCTTTAGGGAGCAAGAACACTAGCAGCTCTGGACTTAAACAAAAGGGAAGGCTGTGTTGGAAAACTTTCAGATAGCTTAGGCCTTGATATGAAATCTTCTACCCACAGCATTGTGTGTAGCCTTGGTATCATGTATCACATCCCCCTGAGCAACTACACACAGCCCAGGTGACGGGGAGGCGCTCACTCTGAGTCTCCGCAGTACGGCCGCCACCCGCTTCTGCAGGTTGTCCCAGCGCTGGTTGCCCTCGTGGACCATCTGCTTCAGTTTGCTGGCTGTGTCCGTGCGGTTCTCCCGGGCCAGCCGACGGTACTGCTTGTTGATGAGCTCCAGCTGAGTGAGCCGCTCATGGATCTGCCGCTGAAATGCCTGCAGCACAGAATGAACGGGTTCCCAGTCAGCTGCCTCCTGTCACAGTACCTATTTCCAACCTTCGGCGCTTTCTTGAGCCTCCTCCTACCTTCCCCCTCCCTCTTAGCAAATCAAATCACCTCATCTGCTGTTGGGTGAAAATAAGAGTCCAGTACATGGGTCTCAATTTTATCTCAAATAAGAGTCTCAATCCTTTGAATCCTTCATGTATCTCCCTATCAACTTCTTGATATTAGTGCCCACCCTTGACTCTTCCCTTCTACCCCATTCATTTTACAAACAAACAAAAAAAGCTAGGTACTATACTCTGCATGGTCCAGAGAATACATGGGGGGGGAACTGCCAGAACAGGAAGAGCATACAGACACCCCCTCCAGGCCCCAAACACCCTGATTCCAGTGGTTAATCCTGAGATGCAACAGAGAGCTTATTACTTCACCAGTTCTTCTGAGGTGAGTTAAGAGAACAGGCTTTCTATAAAGGGGAATACAATCCTTATACAGACATGAGCTACAACATAGATGAACCGTGGAAACATGCCAAGTGAAATATGTCAAGTCACAAAAGGGCAAATACTTACATCCTATATACATGAAAGAGCTCTGGTAGCATAGTGGTTACGAATTGGGCTGCTAACCTCAAGGTCGGCAGTTCAAAACTATCAGCTGTTCTGCAGGAGAAAGATGAGGCTTTCTGCTCCCATAAAGATTTCCAGCCTCAGAAACCCTATGCAGGGTCACTATGAGTTGGAACTGACTCCACGGTACTTAACAACAACAACAACATATACATGAAAGAGCTCTGGCAGTGTAGTGGTTACAAATTGAGCTGCTAACCGCAAGGTCAGCAGTTCAAAACTACCAGCTGTTCCACTGGAGAAAGATGAGGCTTTCTGCTCCCGTAAAGATTTACAGCCTCAGAAACCCTGTACAGGGTCGCTATGAGTCGGAACCGACTCCACGGCACAAAAACACCACCATATACATGAAACAAGAGATGGTATGAGACAAAAGCTACTTGGTAGTTACCAGGAGCAGGACAGCGGAAAAGGGGAAGTCAATGTTCAGGGGCTACTGAGTTTCTGTTAACGGGGGTGGAATCATTTAGAGATGAACAGTGGCGACGGTTCCACAGCTAGAAGAACATTATCAGTGTCACTCAGTCATACATGCAAACATTTTGAATGGGCAAATGCTCTGTGATATATGTATTACCATAATAAAAAACAGACTAGGCTGCCCCAAGTTCACTGCGTAGTAGGTTACAGCGGGCTGTGTACCCTGAAGCGCCCTCCAGCGGTGGGGGGAGGTGACCACTCGGCAGCAGCCTTTTACAGATCCAGAGCTGTCGCTGCAGAGAGTTACCAAGAGCACTAGGTTGGAGAAGGTTTTTACCTCACATCTCTTCAGTTCTTCTTTGGCAATGGTGTACAACACCTCCGAGGAATTCGGGTAGGCCGCCGTCCTCTCAGCCGACTCAAGCCAGTCTTCAAAGCGGGAATAATCATCTAGAAACTTCTGCCACAGGCGCCACGTCTCTTCAATTCTGAAGGAAGGACAGCAACTTTAAATACAGTGCCCATACTGTCACACTTCTTTCTGTCCCTTGACAGGTCACATGTCTGTCCCCCACTGGCACTCACACTGTTTAGGGGGAGAGACCCCAATCCCCCTTGCAGAAAATAACCAGGTCGGTATACCTTCCTCCCCAGGAGTGCTGAACCTCTGAGCCTCTCAGAGCCCATGCATGCTTCAGCAGCTGGGCAAACAGAGGGAAAGTAGCCAGCCCCCTCTTATCTGAGACACCAAGACATTCCCCTGATGAGCAGTGTCCATACCTACTGAGCCTTCTCCCAACATCTCCAATATCCAGGCCTTTTCTAAGCATGTATACAGACCACAACTGCTTGTACTGAGGCCAGAAGAGCACTCTTACACCACATAGGGGCATCTTGGTGCTTACTTCATTCGCCGTTCCATTGACATGGCACAGATGTTCCGCCAGCGTCTGTCGAGGCTCCTGGTGGTCTGCTGTATTGAGTCACACTCGGTCTCATTTGCACAGGCATCAGAGTCGTGCAAGAGAACATCACAGATGTTAAACACCGATTCCACCCCTGCACTGTGTTGTTCAATATCTCGTTGCAGGTCCTATGATTCCAACGGAGGAAGACAAACTGTGAGGTGCTGGTAGCAGAGTTGGCATCAGAGGGTCTGCAGTCCAGGGGGTACAATCACTGGTGCGGTTTACCTTGGAACTAGCAGCACAGACCAAGTCCCTCCCCACTCTGTACAACTTTTATGCTACAGCACCTAACACAAAGTCTAAACACCGGCAACAGTGGGGCTCTGTTACACTGACTGTGGGTATGTCGGGGGCAGGTGGGTGGCAGCTATGCCCTCTACACATTGATGGGGAGCACTACTGACCCTTGAGAGCTCACGGCCCCTCAAACACTTGGCCTCCAAGTCCTCCAATTCAGACTTGGTTTCAGAGAGAGGTTGTCTATGGTAAACCCATCGAGTCTCTGCAGCAGCACTTAAACTTGAGCAAGAGATGCTTTTGACCTTCTATAGGTCAAGGGACTCTGAAATCTAAGAGTTTTTGTTTTCTTCACACACAGACATCAGATCATGCATTCAGTTGCCCGGGTGTCCACAGTTTCCCCATGAGCCCATCTGAGGGGCTCATATTAAGGGGTCCAGCTCGGGCTATGACTTGGGGATGGCTAGGTGTCTAGAATCATGTCCTATGATGGTGATAGAAATGCAGTCTCTCCAGTCAGGGAGAGACTTGCAAAATACAAAATACATTGAAAAATGTGCCTGCCCATGGCCTTATCTGGGTCTGAGTGGGAAGACCCTGGTTGAAAGGCAATGAGGCAGTCTAGCCTCTGATAAGCCCGAATGTCATCATTTTCACTGATGCTATATAGTTTCTCTATTTATTCAGCTTACATTGACTAAAAGATAAAGAAAAGGGATCAATATACTTAATGAATGGTAGCAAGAACTTAACTCTACAGAAACTTCTAAGAGACCAACATCATTATCTTGCTTAATCGAAATTTTAAACATTTTCAAAAAATTTACAAATATGCTTCAAAAGCATCGCAAAATAGAATGTTCTACTGATGTTTAATATGAACTAACTTGCAAAATACAAAATAAAGTTGGAGATTTTTTTTTAAGTGAAAACAACATTGTGCAAATAAAAATTCCACCACTAGTATCAGGTGAGGCATCAGCTTGTATGAGGATTAATCTTCACAAAGTAATCACTCAAATCTACATAAGAACAAGATTTAAGCAATAGTGTAAGAAACTTTTGCCAAAGATTCCTGAACTGGCCCTTGAATGGCCCTTGTTTTTTGGTTTTCTGCTCTTGAGTAGGTGAAGGAAAGCCCTGAAACTGGGAGAGGGCTGAGGAGGAGAGTGGAAGTGAGAGGAGATGGGGAGACAAGAAACTAGAGAAGAGAATTCAGTCAGCAAGAATGAGAATAAAAAGGAACAAGAAAAGCAAGGTACAGAGGGAAAAGGAGAAAATCAGGCTGAGAGGGCGGAACTGGTACAAAGGGCAACCATCATTGGTGGCTCCAGGCTAGTTCCATGGCGGGGCTGGGTGGCAAGCACATTGGATGAGGTGGTACTGAGGGGGACTCAAAGGGTTTAGAATGAAGCTGAGCTGGCCCACAGGAGAGAGATTATTGGTAGTTACAGAATGAAGGATGTGTGACTAACACCACACTAAGCCACCCCACAGGGAACCAGAAGCTCAATGAAAACAAGAGAGAGATGCTGAAGACTGAATGAACATGTGTCAGGATACATAAGTACCCAAAAGCTGACACCACTTCTTTGAGCTTTGAAAAGGATACATTCTATAAGAATAAAAATACAGCCTTGTTTATTACCTAGAAAACATCTATATAAAAGCATAAGGTTGTTCCTTAGCTAATCTCTTCCCAATCTCACTGGGCACTCAGGGACAAATCAATGAGAATCCAGAGACATTGATGCTATTAGTCACTTTTGTGGAAGTTAGTGCTATGTGATCCCAAATTTTCAGAAATAAGATGTCACTCCAGAAGAAAGACAAAGAGTGATACCCAGTGTGTGAATCTGAAGGTGGTAGAAAAGAAGCCATGAATCAAAGAATGCAGGCTGCCTCAGTAAGGGGGCAAAGGCAAAGAAACAGATTCTCCCGAGACTCGAAAAAGGAACACAGCTCTGCTGACACCCTGATTTTAACCAGTGAGCCATTGTACATTGGTGTGGGTTTAGCTGCTAAACTTGTGTTAACTTTTTACAGCAGCAAAAGAAAAGTAATACAATATCTAACTTCTTTACAATAATAGTAATAAACACCAAAGTGTGTGTGTGTGTGTGTGTGTGTGTAGGTAT